GCTCCGACGTTTGTTTTTAAGTGCGGAGCACTTGAGGGCTGAGCGATCGCTGAGGCCGAGAATGAGTGAAAAATGTGAGCCCCGGAGTACTCGAAGAAATATAAACAGTCGGTTGACTGTTGAAGACGGCTGACGATTGTTGCTCGCTCGATTGTGGCAAGAGTGTAGAGCGAAAGAATTCGTGAGAGGAGCACGCACGGTCCTTCCGCATTCCCGGCCAGCATTTTCGGCCGATTTCGGGCGGAATCGCGGCTGCGCGTAGATAATGCTGAGAAGTTACGCAAGGTTCCATCGCGCGATTGCGATCAAGGTGAAAGTCTTCGGGCTCGGCGGAGCGAGACTCGGCGGTATCAGCGGCCGCGAGTCTCGTAAATCACAGGCGCGATGTCGCTGGAGAATGTCCTTTAACGACGAGCGACGAGGAGCCTCCTCTGACTCTCTGGAGTATAATCGCGCGCGCTTCACGCCGCCGCCGCCGCCGCTCGTCCTTTCTCGCGGCGTGGCGCTACGAATGTGTCCGCGAATCAGTTTCTTCGCCGCGACGGACGCGCGGTCCAACTTTTCATGCAATTATCTCGCTCTTATCCGCACCTCGCGGATGCACGCCTTTCAGGCGGATTAATTCTACCTCGTCACGCTGAATTTCACGGCGCGCCGCGGCCGAGGAACATCGCTCTCGCGCGCACAAAGGATACGCTCTTATGAGGCGAGCGGGCCGCCTAACGAGCTCTATTTCGAGAGAGATCCCCTGTTCACGATCCTCTCTCAGGACCGGCGCTCGCGACGCGGTCAAGTGACGCAGGAGGACGTCGCGAGGATGGCGCGCGCGCGTCTCCGCGTATTGTTTCAAGCTATCGGTTTCTATCGGCGGGACCAAATCGGCCGGGCGCATTCAACGGCACTTTCGCGCCGGGGATACGTCGGGACGAATTAGCGATTACGCGAAACGGGACACGCGAGTTTGATGTCGCGCAGGAATCCGTAGCGCAGGACTCCTTCGAGACTCCGCACGTCTTTTCCGCCGTGAGCTTCTCTCGCCGCGGCCGCGGCTCCTCTCCCGTGAATGCAAACCGGAGAAATCGAGCGACACTTGGAGCGACTTGGTTACGATCGCGGTCCTTTTTTCGCGAGCGCAAGGCACTTTCACTGCTGAAATGTGCGAGATACGTCGAATTCTGCCACGCCACGCCGCGCCGCCTCGCTCGGCGAGACGGAAAGACAGCATGCGTGACAAAGTGTGTAAGTTAGTCGGGGCGAAATGGCCGAGTGAAAGAGCACTTCGATCATCAGTCGCTCGTTTCCCGAGATAATGTGCACGTTGAGGATACGTCCTGGGCGATAAGGCCAAGTGTGACGATGATTACAACGAGGATGCTTGGCTCCCCGGCAAATAGCCGAGCGCGTCGTTATCGCGCTAAGTGCATCGACGTGTCTTTTTCGCGTGTGTGATTTCTCGCGGAGGCTGCCGTATAATTTATCATACATTTCCCTCGCTTACAACTCCTGTTAATATTATTAATTCCCCGCTAATGAAAACTACAAGAAAGCGTATTGAACACACGGCGCTAAAAAGACACACACACACACACACACATATGCGCGCGCGCGTGTGGAATAAATGAAAGTGCAAGTTTCGCGGCAGTCGCGGTATTCGTCGTCCGTTCGATAAGAGACAACTCTCTCTCTCTCTCTCTCTCTCTCTCTCTCTCTCTCTCTCTCTCTCTCTCTCTCTCTCTCGCTCCTCTCTCGCCGCGCGACGCGCGCCATATTAATAGCGACCGCGAGGAGAGGACTCGAAGAGCGATCCCTTGCGGTGTGATGCGGTTTCTCTAAGGTTGAAAACATTAATGTGCCACTGTCCCCGCGGATTATGTCACTTGTAGACAGGCACGAAGAAAGGATCGTGCAAAATCGACCCGGGTGAACGCCGAGCTCCTTCCTCGCCAAGACTTCGCATTGGCCCCGGGGTGAATCAGTCCTTTGTGCCGGGCTCTCTCAGGGTCAACCACTTTCGGTGCAGTATATGCCTCTCCGACGTTTATATGTACACACGCGAACACACTCGCCCGTCCGAGAGTGCCTACAGGGTGTCTTGAAAGTCGCCGCGTAGCCAACAGTCAAGTACCACTAGTTGGATATTTTCAGACGGACTCTCTCCGCGGCGCGGCGCGGCGCGGCGCGGCGAGGCGCTTCGCCTCCTTCGAGCCGCGTCCGCGGAAGAGCGTGAGATAAGATTAAATCCATATGGCAGGAGACGGCGTGGCTCTCTTCAAGCGAGATCAGTCGCGCTCGGATGTGAGAGCGGGTCCTCTCCTAGCGCCGGAATCCTAGCGATTCGTACTCGCCGCTTTCGTGTGCGAGGAGACTCGCACGCGTGCGAATAAATTCGACCGATTATATCCCGCAAATTCCACGTCAGCGGTGTCTCGGACGGATCTGATGAATAATACGACAGTCGAGTGACTCTCCGTCCAATTAACAGCTATTAAATCGGTCGCTTCGAAAACATGAGCAACTTGCGTGAGGAATAGACGAGGAGGAATGTGAAAGAAGTTGAAATTCCGCGAAACTGCGAGAAAAAGAGCAACTCGCACGAGAGATCTTATTCTCATCGTAATTCTATGTCTGTTTTATGTCAACAAATTACGCTCGCCCGTTACGTAACAGCGCGATGCGCGTCGATCCTCTCTGTCGCATGACCACACGTAATAGCTACTATACACGTAACGACGCCATTCGCCATAATGAGAAGAGGATCCGCGCGATCCAGCGCGAACACCCCGCGAGAGACGGTCGAGGCGCGTTAGAAGCTCATCAAGGCGCACGCGTTCATTCGTTTCTTGAACATTCAAGCGGATGAATTTCAGCCGAAGTGGGTGCCTCGGGACCCGCTGCGCGATTTCCACATCGTCAGGCCCACATCGGCGGTTAGAAGGGGTTAAAACCCGTTGTTCCTTTTCTCATCGCGTCGGATCCCAAGTTTATTGGCTCGACGCCGCGTTCAAAGTCGAAAAAATAAGCCAAATAGACCGCCGCCGCGGGGAGGAGGAGAAGGAGCAGGAGGACGGTGGGAGAGGTTCGCAGGAAACGCGAACCGAGGGAGGACGAGGAGAAGGAAAGGAGAGACAAGCGTGTGCGGCGAATAGTCGTCTTTGCCGGCGGCGGGGAGACGATGTTTCTCATGAAATACCTCATCGCGATTCGAGCCTCTAATTCGGCTCGCTGCTGATTCACTCTTGACGTCTCGGACGCGGACGAACAGTCCGCTCGGACCGCAAACATCTTCCTCCCTTTCGTTTTTTCGCCGGCCCAGCCCCCGCGCCGCGCGACGGAGTCACCGTTAAGAGGAAAATTGATTTTTGCATTCGGCAAACAGGTTCGATAAATCGTTTCGCGAGGTTATCGGTAGGATGCGCAGCATCTCTCTCTCTCTCTCTCTCTCTCTCTCTCTCTCTCTCTCTCTTCCTTCACGGTTCTCACATCTTTCTCGCCTGTCCCGTGCGAAAAGACGTACAAGTCCTGCTTCATCGCTGACGTCATTGGCGAGGATGATCCACGTTCCCAGTAGCCGATGCGTCGCTCCGCAAACACACGACAGCCCGAGTCCTACGGTTTCGATTCGAGCAGAAGTGCTTAAACAATCTTACCGGGCTCATTCCGCGGCCTGAATAACATCCGCGATTTCGGCGAGGTGTCTCTCGAATAAATTTCCGCGAGCGAGGCCAGCCATGCGAATTCAGAGTCGAGGTGGCTTTCTATAACGACTTGGGACAAACACCGCGGTATAATCAGTAAAACAGTCACGTAGGTATTTACCATACTCTCTCGTCTCCGCAGACCAACACAGTGATTTGTGACGATTTGTGAGTCCACTAAAGCGCTAAAGAGCCCGAAGAACCTGAAATTTCTGGCCCCACCAACGACGTCTAGTCGCTCAATCGACCGATCGTCCCTCATGTTTAACCCTTAAACTCTGGGATGGGTGAAGATTCACTCGATGATATATTTTAACTGTTGCTACTAGATAGCAGCACATTATACAATGATGTCCTGCTAAGATTTATAATGTTTATAAATATTTACGTATAGTTCATGCACACTCAAAAAAAATAAAATTATACCTAGAAATTCCTGGTAATAGGAGATAATAAAGGCATCTTAGTATTCAAGGATTAAGGAACGCACACTACATTAATCCTTTGAAGCACGAATTTTTAGCAATAATAAAAGAAAATGATTATATATATATAGGAGTTTTCTGGGTTGCTAATTACGAATCTGGAGTCAAAATTTTAAAATTCAAAATGGTGGATTCAATATGGCGACTTCGAATGGCTAACTTTGATATGATATTATGAATATGTATCAAACTCGGTATATATATGTTTTTTCGATCATAGATGACAAATACAAAGTCGAAATTAAAAAATTCAAAATGGCGGATTCAATATGGCGACTTCAAATGGCTAACTTTGATATGATATTATAGATTTTAATTTCGGAAATCTGATAACAAATTTGTGATCAGCGACCCAAAGAATCTCCATATACCTATTTCTGTCGAAATCGAAGGATCTTGAACATTTTTATCCACCATATTGGATCCGTCATTTTGAATTTCGAAATTCTGACCCCGGATTCGTAATCGGCAACCTCGAAAACGTAAAATAAACAAGTTTCATTACGACTGTTTTTATAAATCACCGTTAAATTAATTTTTACTGAGAAATATATAATTTTATGCAATTTGTTTATTTACAGGATGCTTCAATTTCAAAAAAATTTTACATTTTACATTTTCAGCACGTATATAAATATTGGGTTGTCCGGAAAGTTCGTGCCGATTTTTAGTAGGTGGCGTAGGGATAGGTCTGAATATTTCAGAACGATTGAAAACAAATGACATGCGTACATATCGTAAAAGACGGTACTTCAGGTATATTTGGAAAAAAATTTGGTTACGATACGTTAATTTTTATCAGTTTTATACGCCTTTGAATATGGAAGAAAACAAAGTGCATTTTAGGCATTTAATGCTTTTCTTTTACCGGAAGGGCAAAAATGCCACACAAGTGGCAAACAAGATATGCGCTGTTTATGGCGAAGGTGCTGTAGCTGAAAGAACTCTGTGGAAGTGGTTTGCTAGGTTTAAAGCTGATGATTTCAACCTTAAAGATCAAAAACGCCCGGGTAGGCCCTCCACCACAGATGAAGATCAGATTAAAATACCGATCGAGAAGAACCCACGCTATACAACACGTAAATTAGCAGAAATGTTAAATATGTCAAAATTCACCATCCACGAGCATTTTGTGAAGCTTGGCTACATAAACCGTTTTGATGTATGGGTTTCCCATGATTTAGCGGAGAAAAATCTGATGGATCGCATTTCCATTTGCGACTCGCTCTATAAACGCAACGAGTAGACACCATTTTTGAAGCAGTGATGAAAAATGGATCATTTATAATAATGTTGAATGAAAAAGATCTTGGGGAAAGCGGAATGAACCACTTTTAGCTACCCCAAAAGCTGGTCTTCATCCAAAGAAGGTCATGCTCTGTGTCTGGTGGGATTGGAAAGGGATCCTGTATTATGAGCTTTTACCAAACAACGAGACGATAAATTCAGAGAAGTATTGTTCTCAATTAGACGAATTAAAGACAGCAATTGAACAAAAACGTCCAGAAATAGCGAATCGGAAGGGCGTCGTGTTTCATCAGGACAATGCACGGCCTCATGTGTCTTTGATAACTCGACAAAAGTTGTTGGAGCTCGAATTGGGATGTTCTACCCCATCCACCATATTCACCAGACCTCGCGCCCTCTGATTTCCACCTATTTCGATCATTACAAAATTCCCTTAATAGAAAAAACTTCAACTCTTTGGTTAGAGATAAAAGATCATGTAGAAAAGTTTTTCGCTGAAAAACCTGAGAGATTCTGGAAGGACGGAATTTTCAAGTTGCCTGAAAAATGGAGAAAAGTTGTAGAACAGAATGGCACCTATATAATTTAATAAATGTATACTAAAATTTAAATCTCCTGCGTTTCAATTTTCCTTCAAAATCGGCACGAACTTTCCGGACAACCCAATACATAACATATTTTAGAAGCGAAAAAAATTTAGACGAAAATATCAAAAAAATAGCTTAAATAATTAAAAATGAAAAAAGTAAAGGTGAGATTGTGGGATCCCACCATGCTTCAAAGGGTTTAAGCAAAGGAATATATTAGGTCATTAAATATAAAATGTCCGATTTCGAACCAGAAGTTTGATTTATTATATCTCAAACTAGAAATAATACAATTAATCAAAGTATGCATCTAAACTATCGATACAGTTCTGCCATCTAAACGGTAGCTTATTTATGCCAGCAGCGAAAAAGCCTGAAGAGCGCAAGGCGTTTTCCACAGCTTGTTGAGAATTGAATATTTTTCCTTGCAAGAAATGTCCCAGTGTCCCTGGAAGAAGTGGCAGTCAGTTGGTGCAAGGTCTAGTGAATACAGTGGGTGACGGAAAGTTTCCAAGTCCAGCTTCTTTAGTTTAAGCTGCGTTATTTGTGCGATATATGATCGAGCATTGTCTTGCAAGAGGATTGGCCTGTCTCTATTGACCAATCTCAGCTGCTTAATCGCGAGCATCTTCATCATCTCGTCCAGTTGCTTGCAGTAGACATCCGCTGTAATCGATTGGCCAGGTTTCATGAAGCTGTAGTGAATAATACCAGCGCTGAACCACCAAACAGACAGCGTTAGCTTTTTTGATGAATATCGGTTTCAGACTGTGTTTCGGCACTTCATCTACATCCAGCCATTGTGCCGAGCACTTGCGGTTGTCGAAAAGAATCCGTTTTTCATCACACGTAGCAATATAATACAAAAATGATTTGCCTTCATGTCGTAATGATAAAGAAAGGCAAGCTTCCAGACGATTTCTCTTCTGACGCACGTTTAATTCATGAGGAACCCGTCTATCCAGCTTCTCTACCTTGCCGATTTGTTTCAAATGGTTCCAATATCGTTGGAATAGTAACGTTAAACCTTGCTACTAATTCACGCGTAGTTTGAGATGTATCAGCTTCCATTACAGCTTTCAGCTCATCATTATCCCTCATCTTGATCCCGAGTCGCCCACGTGGTTCATTTTCAAGATTAAAATCGTCAAAACGAAACTTCTCAAACCATCGACGTACTGTACGTTCGTTAGCCACATATTCACCAAACACTTCGTTGGTACTTCGAGCTGTTTACGCTGCATTGGTTCCACGACGGAACTCATATTTGAAAATAACACAAATCTTTGACTTATCTATGATTGATGATACACAAAAATTGCTGTAACGAAGGCAATTCGAAAGACAATCACAAACCAAAACATACGTTTGAAAGAATGACGATGCAGCTTGACAAGAAAAGAAACTAAGAACTGTAAAAGTGAAATGTCAGAGATATCGACTGTCGAACTTAGTGCTCAAAGAAATCAGACACTTCATATTTAATGACCTAATAGAATAGCGTGAGCTGTAATGAGCGACTTTAAGTGCGGGACGCGGCAACGTTAATATCCTAACCGATGGAATCTGCAGGTCGAAGCTACGAACTTGCAGAAATGACATCCGTCATATGATCCTGGTAATTTGCTGTTACAGAAGCGAGACGCATGACAGACGATACCGGGCGGGCGTTATCAGCAGGTGAGGGCTCAGTAGCTTTGGGCGACGCGAACGAGAGATGTCGGGTGCCGCTGGCACGGAGAACCCAGCGTTCGCCGACGATAAAGAGTGCAACACCAAGCTGGAGAACGGCGGCCAGCAGCAAGTGACCGGGGAGCAGGACCACAAGACCTCCTCGTCGGCGGCGGACAGCGCGCCGACGGAGAATGGCCACCAGCGGTCCTTCGTCTCCCAGCACTATGTAGAGCCGATGAAGCCGAGCTCGGAGCCGTGCTACAAGACGGAGACGAGAATCGAACTGCCGGCCGACAATACGGAGAAGAGCTCGCCGGAGCCGAAGCTCAACGGTGTCCATGGGAACGGCAACAACAACGACGCCAGCTTCCTCAACAACAGCGCCACAAGCGTGCAGGTGAACGGTGAGTTGAAACGCACGTATGGCGTCGCGTCTATTGAAGAGCGACAAGTGATCCTACGAACTTGAAGAATTCGGGCGGGGGGGGGGGGTGACACTTAGAAACTCCATTAGGACCGTCCACCAAGAGACAGGATGGAAAAGCAGTCGTAGGAGGGAGGAGAAATTGTCTCGTCTCCACTCCCCGTAGAATATGACTCGAGTAGACAGTACTTTCGATCGTTAATTACCACCACGCGTCGCTACCGGTTTGCCGGTAAAGACGAGAAAAAGTCGTTCGTGGCCGGTGAAACGGCCCGGGAAGTACTCGACATGGCGGCGAATCCGTTGACACGCATCGCGACGTACGATGTATCTCATGTCGCGTGTTCGTTGCCGACGATCGTCTTTCCGTTCGCTCGACGCTCCGTCTCTCCCACGCGTATACCTTCGACACCGATGCCGATAAAAATAACGACGAACTCTCGTGTTCGTGCGATCGCGGACACCGATGTCGAGATCACTTCTCGAGTTCTCCCGCTCATCGATTCGCCCGTCGCGTCGCGTTAACCGGCGTCGCCTCCGCTCGCTCATTTTGCCTTCGTTCTCGCGCATTAACGCACTCATATCTCGCGCAACCGCGTGCCGTTTTCCACGCGAGACTGCGCTAAAAGCAGGAAACCCGGCCATATTTTAGCCGGATCGCTCTTTCGCGGAATGCGGTTTCTCCGCTGCTTTCGTGTGCGACCGGAAAACGAAAACCGGTTGCATCTTACGCGAACGCGGACGCACACCTCATGCTAAACGGACCATTTCCCGTTTTCCATAGAGTCCGGGAAAAAGGAGCAGATCGAGGCCGTAAACCTGGAACTAGTCTCGATGAGGCCGTACTCGGCCAGCAATATCCAAACGAAAGGTCAGGAAGCCTGCGAGGTACCAGCTGATCCTTACGAGGAGTACTTCGTGCCGGTTAACGAGCATCGAAAGTACATCAGGTAACGAGTCGTCGTTCGTCGTAGCGAACGAGTCTCTGCGCTTACGCACTTCTTCATTTCCTCCTGCGACTCTGTCTCTTTAACTCTCATTAACTGTGTTACTTTACATGTGTATACCGTTCCACCAACCCGGCGTGCGCGTCGAATCCTATCCCGAATCTCCGAAACAGAAAACACGCTAACGACGAGGAAAGCAAGAGGGGGAAAAAAGTGGAAAGAGAGAGAGAGAGAGGGAGAGAGAGAGAGAGAGAGAGAGAGAGAGAGAGAGAGAGAGAGAGAGAGAGAGGAACAGGAACAGGAGCGCGACTTACGGTTCTCCGCGCGAATTAACGAGCATCGCCGCGATCGATCCCGGACGAGATTCCCCGCGTCGCTCTTGTGAAATAGTATGTATCTGCGATCGTGAGAACTGCTCTCTCGTAAACGCGGAATGTAACGTCGGGACCTCGTCGCGCACATTGAAAGACACTAAAGTCACCCCGGTAGACACCCCCCCCCCTCGAGCAGTCGATCCCTCGCTTCGGTAGCCGATAGCGTAATCGTGAGCGGCGAGCACGTGTGTACGGCGAGATAAGCAGAGGCTGTAGATTAGGCTAGGCGACATTCGGCTTTTCCCCGAAGAGGCGCGTATTTTCATCGCGCGCGCGCGCGCGCGCGTGTTCCGTCCCGGCGCTTATCGGAGGCGCGACAGACGCCTCCGACGCTGTTTTTAGCTGCAGCGGATAGCGCAGCGCAGACACACACACACACACACACAGCGCAGCGCCGAGCTCGGCCGTCGCTGTCCGAAAGAACCCTCGTTTTGCCCACCTCGGTAGAGAGAGAGAGAGAGAGAGAGAGAGAGAGAGAGAGAGAGAGAGAGAGAGAGAGAGAGAGAGAGAGAGAGAGAGAGGAAGAGTTAGACGACGGTGTTTTCTGTTGCCACGATACTTATAGCAGGGAGCCCGAGGCCGAGGTTGAAACGACCGTGGCTGGAGTGCGTTTTGATTTGGGCCCCGGCGTCGGCCGCGAAGGACTCAGTCTGAGAGACCCTGCCGCCGGACTGGTCGACTATTCCCACTGGCTGACAGCCCTCAGGTACTTGAAGGATGCTTTCGAGGATGCGGAAAAAGAGTTGGGGTTGACTGTCTGTGGAGTATATACACGTACTTAGGTTTCTTACAAGGTCAAGTACTAACACGCTTACGCTACCGCTCTCCTCTCCATCCCCCAGCTCGGATGACACGTCCCTCCGTGAAAGACCGTCGCCGCACGTCCCGAGGAGAGACGCTTCGTTACCGAGACGTGTCGGGTAGCAAAGCAGCTTCCGGACCGGACAGTTTCGACGCGATAGCTAGCGAGCACAGGCGTATCGCCGACGTTTGTAACCCGGAAGGGTCGATCCGCGTGAAGCGAATAGTAATCGTGATCGGACGTTACCAAGAGTGTCGGGGCCGAGTCGCGCGGCGTCGTCTCGAGAGAAATAGAGAGAGAGAGAGAGAGAGAGAGAGAGAGAGAGAGAGAGATAGAGAAAGAGAGAGGGAGAGAGAGAGAGAGAGGGAGAGAGAAAGAAAGAGAGAGGAAGAAAGCGAGAAAGAGAGAAAGAGAGGGTGAGATGTTGGTCGGTCGCTTCTTGAGCGATGAAGCGCGCGAGTAAACCACACGCCACACACAGCACACGATTCAAGAGATCAAGCGCTCGTTGGAAAGGTGGTTTAGACACCAGGGTGCGATGTGCCAGGGAAGCTTCTAATCCCGTTGGCTGGTCACCGACGGAGGTCGCTAGGAAACAGGCCGTTACACGCGCAACGCTGTACAAAGTATGCTTCTTGGGTTTAGGTCGAGGGACATGTTGGAGCACGCGACGAGGGCTGCTGATCGCTGTCTCTCTAACGAGGTGATCGAACTTGTGTTGCAGGGGCGAGAAGCTCTACGTCACGAAGGACAAGAGGTCCCGGAACTCGTACTGGAGAAGGATGGCCTGGGCTTGCGGGCTGCTGGTCCTGCTGATCGCCGTCATCATCGCCATTCTAGCCGCAAGTAAGATATCGCTCTCTCTTTCTCTTTCTCTCTCTCTCTCTCTCTCTCTCTCTCTCTCTCTCTCTCTCTCTCTCTCTCGCTCTTACCGGCTCTGCGAATTTCACGTCGAGGAGAAGCGCGACGAGCAATGGTCGATGTACACCGAGCGAAACTTCCCTCAGATCCTACGAGTGCCTTTGTTTCAGCCGGCGTGATTCTGACGCAAGAAGCTACGGAACCTTTGGAGACCTTACCGCAGGAGGCTGACGCTCATCAGCTGGACGACGTGAAGACAGCGGGTAGGCAAGAATTCGTGAAGAACCCACCGTCGAGTCCACCGCCTTTAACCTCGAGTTTTCCGCCGTGGCCGACAACTGATGAAACGGAATATCAGATTGTGCCGAACGCTTTGGACGGGATTCTGCAAATCGACTTGAAGTGGAACGAGGACTTGAGAGATAGCAAGTCGCAGGCGTATAGACTGTTGGTCGACGACATAGAGCAGTACCTGAAGGGCATGCTGCAACCGGCGGAGAGCGCGTCCGTAGTCAAAGTGTACGACATGAACGAGCAAGGTGAGGTGAAGTTCAGAATAAGTCGTCCGCCTTTGTCTACTCCTCAGGCGACCCAAGAAAGCATCGAAACGGTATTGCGGCAAAACGGCAACATGATCGGGCAACTTCATTTGAGAAGGCTTCAAGTTGGAAAGCTTATTGATCAATGCGAGAGCGGCATCTTCGAGTGCGCCGAGAGCTGCAAATTCGACTACGCCGCCGCTGCATTCATGTGCACCTGCGGCGCTGGGAAGATGTTGGATCAGGACAACAAGACTTGCGTGGACGACAACGATTTGAGTAACGTCGAGATGGACGACGTAATACCACCATCGAGCACGGAATCCACGAGTGATTTCGTTCAAGGTAGAAGCAGAGGACCCGGCACGGAACAATTTGGACCGAGATACTCCGATAATTGGGAACACACGGAATTCAAGACAAAATTGGCCGAGGCAGATGCGCCCGCAACGACGACGAAGCATATTTTCGAGGATAATGATCCTCATTGGCATCACGAACATGTGCATCATTCAATGGAAACAGGCTCCGAAGCGAAGCCTCCTGTCGAAGTATTGCCTACCGCAGAGCCAACGCTACATTCATTTACCATGTCTGCTGTTGAACCACAACTTGCCACAGAACCAGAGCCTTCCGTTAAATCAGAGCCCTCTGCTGAACCAGAACCCTCTGCTGAACCAGAGCCCTCTGCTGAACCAGAACCCTCTGCTGAACCAGAACCTTCCACTGAACCAGAGCCTTCCGCTGAACCAAAACCCTCTGCTGAACCAGAGCCTTCCGCTGAACCAAAACCCTCTGCTGAACCAGAGCCTTCAGCTGAACCGGAACCCTCTGCTGAACCAGAGCCTACCACTGAACCAGAGCCTTCCGCTGAACCAGAGTCTTCCGCTGAACCAGAGCCTTCCACTGAACCAGAGCCCGCTGCAGAACCGGAACAAGCTGCTGAACCAGAGCCCACTGCGCAGTCGGTGCCAGCTGCTGAACCAGAACCGTCTATCGAGCCAGAAGCTGCTGCTCAGCCAGAACCCACAGCTGAGCCAAAGCCCGAGCTTACTACAGAATCGGAGCCCACTAGCGAGCCAGAACCTGCTAGTGAGCCAGAGACCACCATGATATCCGAATCAGACGCCACCACGAAACCAGAAATCGGATCTACTGCTGAGGTAGAATCCGCCATTGATGGGCAACCCATTGTAAAGCCATTGACAGAATCTGCAGAATCTGCAACAACCTCCGACGAAATAGACGCTGTAAATAATAATATAGAAACGACCACGGAATTACCTCACATGACAACGATGCAATCGCATTTAGACACGGACGCTGAAATATCCAATCTGCCAGATTCCACTATGAAGTCCATGTCTCGCGATGATACGTACATCGAACCACAGACGCAAGCGTCTATTTTGGATGACGCCAACGGCTCAACCGATACACCTGCAATCGTAAAGCCCGATAAGAATCAAACAGATGACACAGAATTGCAAGTGATACCTTTAATACGCAATAATGAATCGACCGATTATGTCGAAGCTAAAGCGGAATCGACGACAATAGAATATTATACTAATAAGGACGACGAAATTGCAACCACCGAGATGAGTTTTACTACCTTGAATTACGAAGGTCTGAAGGAGGGTAACGGCGGAAATGATAACCCAATGATAACCAAAGTTGAGGATAACGAAAGACCAGGCGAAAACGCGGAACAATTTACACAAAGTCCTAACCTTCAAGAGGACAAAGAATTGAATGCCAACACTGAGAGGAATCTTGATACGAGTGTAAATAATATTCAAAATGAAGGATCTTCGACCCCTGAACGTAATTTAATGACTGATCAACAATCATCGAGCACTACCTCGTATGATCCTGAGCAGAATACTTTCACCACCGCCTCACTTACCACGCTGGTGATGCCAACAGAAGACAGAACGGAATCAGCTATTAAATCGACTCTCAGTGACACGTATTACCATACGATAGAAATCAATGGCGTAAGTAACCCAGATACATACAACAGTCCGAAGGTATACGAGACGACTGTGGTACCAGAAACTACTTCCACCGCCACGTCCATTCAATCAGAAAACGTGCCGCAAGCCGCTTCGTGGCCGCAATCCGACACGCAAGATTCGAACGAGAAGAACGTCATCGAGCATATGCCGACGACGGTGTTCCCTAAGGTACCGAAGAACTTCGCTCACAACGTAGAGCCGCTCGTGGAACCCATCGAGAAATCAACGGACGACGAGCACATCATGATGATACCTCAGTCTGACGAGCCTGCGACGAACTCTCACGCGATAATTCCGCAACTCATCCCCGAGCAGAGCATGCCAGTCGCGAACGCATCGGTCGTTGCGGAGGTTCCGTCGACGGAAGTCAACAACAGGGTGATGGTGAATGAGCACGTAGACACGAAGAAGGTCACGCCAGACACGAGCTCGAGCGGATCACCCACAGCGCGTACCGACGAGAACGTCGTGTACACCGGTAGCAATGAGCACACAGTCCGCCCTGACGACGCTGTGGAGCACTCGACGAGCCACCCTCTTCACCCGGCGATATTCCCGGAGAACTCGGTGGATCACTTCGCCGGGAGAGCCGACGCGGGCGACGATCGACACGCCGAAGACATGTCGCCGTTCTTGCCGGACGTTCACAAGGAGAAGGAAAACGCGAAGAAAGCGCCACGGCTCGATAAGGACGAACAAAACGCTCCCAATCCCTTCGAGACTCACATCGACGACGTCATAACGCATCGGCCATTGATGCAACACGGTAATATGGCCGACGCGAGCCGCGGTGTGAACGAAACCGAAACCAAAGACTTGCTGAACGACGTCAACTCGCATCCGGCGAGCGACGAGAAGACGGATCTTGCGAAGAAAAGCGACGAGAGTCCAAAGGTGAACGACGTGGATGACTTGGGCAATGGCGCTAAAGATACCATGAAGAACAATTTAGACATCAGCGAAGTCGCCAACGACACGGAGTCCAAGATTCCAGGTGACGGTCCTGCAAAATCGAGCGACGACGCTTCGTCCGCGGAGGAGAATAACGAAGCGCTAAAAGTGATACCGCTGATGGCGGAGAATAAACCAATAGACGAGACTTCTCAGACCAGGAAGCAGTCCGCGAGTCATGAGATCGCGACGTCGAGCGAGGCCGCTGAAGGCACCACGACTCCTGCGGCCGAGGAGAAGGCAAAGGAAGCAGTCGCAAGTCCCGCAATGGAAAGTAGCAGCTCGGAGAAGCCAGAAGAGAACGCCGTAGAGGATCAGTACAACGACATCACGGACGAGAGCTTGTCGAAGGAGTACCGACACAACGGTGACGTTAAGGACATCCCGATAAAAATCGCGGAGCAGTCGAAGAAAGCCATCTTGAACGACATCGATCGGATGGAACTGCCCGACAAGACGACCACATCTGACAACACCACGAAGAAGAGGAACGAGACGGACGAGGAAACCTCTCCAGGTACAACGCAAAGCCCGATGACTACGACGGAGGGTGTCTCGGACGGACAAATGGAAGATGCCAAATTCACCACGCAGGAACCCGTGTTGCCAATGGAGATCCAGCAAGATATATCGACAACGATGACAAGCGACAAGGTCGAGACCACCACTATGACCAATGCTGACAAGTCGGAGGAAAATAATACGGAACCGCCGAACGCTTCCCAGTCCGATGAGAAAGACACGGCGACGACCGTGCAGGTTACAACGACGCAGTCAACAATGGAGACCAAAACCACAGCTCAAGTCCCGATCTTGCCCGAGGAGCTGCAAACTACGGAGAGCGATATGTTGACGACAACGTCGGCGCGGCCGACGAGCGAAGAGAAGGAAGCGAAGACTGAAAACAAAACGGAGAGCGTTAACGACGAGGAGGAAAACGCGGTGACTCACAGCGTCGAGGAAGATACCGATATGAACACGTCGTCGGAGGCAACCATGGCGGCGACAAGGGTGTACGAGAATAACGTGAGCATAGAGGCCGGCCGGAAGATAGAGGAAAACAAAGATGCTAATGAGCAGAGCAAGTCAACGACCGAGAACTCGAGGGAGAGCGCGAGAACGGAGACCACTCTCGCGATGTCCACGGAAAAGAGTTCTACTCCAGAAAGGAGTACCACACCGATGTCCAACGACATCACCACCACGGAGGACGTTAGACCGGTGACGGAACTGCTGGACGATACTCAGCCTATGATAGAGTTCGATTACAGAACGCTGTTCATCACGACTACGCCGAGAGCAATTCAGCAGATTTCGGATGACCTGTCCGAGGAGGAGCTCAAGGTGATACCGTTGGAGAGGAATCACGAAAGCAAAAAGAAACCAGTCGACAAGAAGGGCTTTGACAAGTACAAGTATAAAAAGGAGAAGGACCTGAGCTTGGGAGAGCCCGAAGAAGAGAATGTGTCGATGGAGGGTCCCGAGCCAACGTTTCTCTCGCAAACGGAACCGCCGAAGGTGACCATCGGCGCTTACGAGGAGCTGAGCGACAGCGCAGTGAGCTCAGACCTGGACCCAAGCGTGTCCAGGTATATCTTGGCCGACAAAGAGGGCAACATCCTGCCGATATCAAGCAATCCAGAGAAGATCTACGAAAGAAACGACGCCGAGAGTAAGGCGTTTACAGAAACGAAGCCCAAGAATTACCCCAGCTTCATCCCCGTGTCGGAGGAGATAATAGAGCCGGTGCCGGTGACGGAGCCCTACATAGTCATGCGGAATTACACGTACCACCAGCCGGCGGTCACGACGGGCGCTTTCGGAGCGGAAAGCGCGATTGCGACAAACGAGACGGCGGCCGAAGGTCGCGCGACGGGCGACCCAGAAACCGATCGCCCGCAAGCCGCCGACGCGAAAGTGAACGACACGGCCAGCCGACCTGTTGCCTTTTCCTCGGATCACTCGCCGAACGGCGAGGGGGCGGAAGTGGATGGCGTTGCGAAAGTCTCGTCGACCGTGCGATACGCGCCGTCAGACGGCCCTCGCAGCAGCGACACCTCGCCACCTGCCCTGCACCTACCCGATGTGCTCTACTCCAAGTGCACCGCGGGTCAATTCCAATGCGCCAACGGCACGTCCCGGGACGGCGCGTACTGCGTCGCGCTGTCCGCCAAGTGCGATTCCGAAACGGACTGCTCCGATGGCTCGGACGAGCTGAACTGCCAAGAGCACGGCTGTCCGGGTAACTTCCAGTGCGCCAGCGGACAGTGCCTGAGGAGGCACCTCGTGTGCAACAAGATCCTGGACTGCGACGATGGCAGCGACGAGCGCGACTGCGAGCAGTGGAAGTGCCAGCACGACGAATTCAGGTGTCCCAACGGTAAGCGGAATATTTGAGAATCGAAGGACAACGATGAGAAGATCCGCTAGGTTGTCAGCGTTATCGTCCGATAATTATCGCTGCACGGAGAGAAGTTTTTGATAAAAGTTATTCCGTTTTGTAACCGATGAATGCGTCGATTACTTTGCCTCCATTTTCATCCTGTTTGTAGTTCGGAGACTGAAATCTGCTGTTAAAAAATGTACCTTGCTCTCTACATTTTAGCGCAATAAACTCTACTGACACTTGGCTCTTGTACTCGTATGGAAAATATGGTATAATTGAAAGGAATTTATGAAAAAGCAAAAAGCGCTGTATAATATTCTCTTCCCGCACGATGACGATGAAAGTTGACGACGGTGCGTGTGAAATTCGCAGGGAGGTGCATCCCGGCGCTGTGGCAATGCGACGGTCGACCCGACTGCGAAGGTCACCAGGACGAGTACAATTGCGCCGTGAGCTGCGGCAACAACGAGTATCTCTGCCCAACGGAGAAGTGGTGCATCCCACAGACGTGGCACTGCAACGGAGTGGCCGAGTGCATGAACGGAGAGGACGAGAAGCTGTGCGACTGCGCCTTGGATCAGTTCAAGTGTCTAACCGGAGGGTGCGTTCCTCTGCATCAGGTCTGCGACGGCATCGAGAATTGCCCGGATCACTCGGATGAGTGGAGCTGCCTGGTCGCGAATGTCACCGCGGAGAGGAACTTGACTGACACGGACGTCGACGCTAAAGCGGACAAGGACGATTTAACCGATGGCGCGTCGCTGGTGAAGATCAGGTGCGAATACACATTTGCACGTAGAATAACGTCAACGAGAAAAAATGGAGAAATTTCAATCGCAAATCAAGGTTCTTTATAAAAAAAAAAAAGAACTTTGAATCGCAACTAGGTAGGGGATACTTAAAATCAGCACATTTTCGACGAAAATGCTCGGGGATATAAAAGATGAGCAAGCCGAGTGAAATCGAACCGAGAGCCTCACTTTGTGTCATTTGTAATAAGCAATGTCTGTATTAAAATATGTATTTGCATGTAGGCAATACGATGGCGAGAATCGACTAGTCTGTTCGGACGGATGGAGCGAGGAATTCAGCGATTCTTACTGTCGAGCTTTGGGATTCGCCGGCGCCGAGACGACTGAGTTATCAGCGTGGAGCAACAGCCAAAAGATCCTAAGATTGAAGACGAATCCGCAGCTCCGCAAGCCGCTGGTGACGAATCTAGAACGGGTAGAATTCTGCGTGTCGGGCAAAGTCGTGCGAATTTCGTGCCAGGAGTTCTCCTGCGGCTTGCATTACGCGGAAGTCCCGACTGCGAGATTAGCCGGTGGGACTCCGGCCAGCGACGGACAATGGTCCAGCGTGGCCTTGCTGAAGGAGCTGAAACACGGTGCGGCTTGTACAGCCAGTATACTCGGTCCTATGCACGCCTTGGCCAGCTATTCTTGCATCTACAGGTGATTGAAAGATTGCTCGACTTGGCTTTCCGATCGATGCCGCGTCCTTCGTGAATCTGTTCCCGTCGTTTCGTGAACATTTCAGTCGGCCTCTTCAGGGAGAAGGACAAAAAGGAGTGAAAAGTTTCAGGTCACCCAAATGTTCGCCGAACACGTTAACAATTTGAATAAGAAGAAACGATAAGGAATTTTGGAGTTAATGTGTAATGTAAAGTTCTGCGTAATCTTGCAGATACAAAGAGAGAAGCGGATGGGAACTGTTTGCCGGTGGTAATATGCTGAAGGTGCACCACGTGAAAAATATCATGCCCTATCCGCAAGTGAAGTATAATCAGTTTCTCTACAACAACGACATCGCCTTGGTCGAATTGGAAGAGCCGTTGGTGTTCTCTAGGAACATCAGTGCCGTTTGCCTGCCCAGACAGCCTATCCAGGTACCCTTGGGATCAAGTTGGCCTGGATCTCATTAACACATCTTATCTCTAAAATCTAACCCTCTCTTGGTTCCTTTCTCTTTTTTATTTCAGCTCAGACAAATTTGCGTGACGGCAGGGTGGGGATTCCCTATGAACGGTGAAATAGATCTACAACAATATCTCAAATTCTTGCCTATTCCGACGTATGACCCCGACAAATGCAACGCCACGAGTCACTACGCAGGATTCATCACGAAACACGACATATGCGCTGGATTCACTGATGCCAATAAGGGACCTTGTTACGTAAGTGCGACGTTACCACCAGAAGCAACTATTTTCTATCTATATCTTTATGCAGAGAGAATGTCCCAAATGTGCTGTTTTTTTATTATTTGGGTCACCTATATTGATTGAAAGTAGTAATTGGTGTCAACCGCCAAAATAGTCACAAACTCGTCCTTTCAGAACGACGAAGGAGCGCCTCTGATGTGTGTCAGCGAGTCGCAAGGCGCGTCGGAACGATGGGAAATTCAAGGTCTGCTAAGTCATCACAGTAGATGCTCAAGAGATCATCCGGCGATCTACTCGAGCTTGGAACCAGCGCTTTCGTGGCTACGCGAATCAGTGCCAGCTTTGCGAACGCAAAGCTAAATCGCTAAGCTATTTTACCAATTTCTCCTGAGTTTGCGAAACATCGAAACTTAACCGACGGGAATTTAATGCATCATTTGATCTGCGATGAGTAAACCGAAGGTGCACACGAGTGAAGACACTTGCTGAGTTATTACATGCCCGTCGGTCAAGTGTTAAACGAGTGTACTATACACGGGCAGGCTCCTCTTTGAGATTTATAATTACGCGATATGGTAAGAGCGAAACGTCCGATAATTATTACTAAAGTATCATTGTCATTTCGATTATTTTTGCCGATTAACGCAACAACAGCATATGGACTTTTTCTTACTTTACAATCTACCACATCGAGTAACTATGAACCAGAGAGTCATTTTTACGAACAAGAAATAACGAAAGAATTTTCACAAAATAAGAATTTGGTCTGAAATCTCTTATCTTTCTCCGCAAAATTGCACGAAAATTATACACGCACGGACGATTGTTTCAAATTTAGACATTGCTCCTTCATATTTCCCAATTCAAATGTTCCTATTAATAATGCAAAAATAATTTTAATAATTCTCGAGCACCAGTGCCGTTGTTAAACAATAAAATGGAAAAGATAAACTTTTAAATTTCATAAAAACATTTTGTCAAGAATTGTGACGGCATGTGTAAAGAAAATCAAAGACGATGAAATTATACCGATTTATAATTAAGTAATCATTATGTAAATACTGTATAAAGTAAACTGTTTATTATCGATAATGTGGTATATAAGAGTGATTTATTAGTGAAATGGGTCTCTCCTTTTTTACATATTTTTATTTTACGTAAAAAATCCTTGTAATAATTGTTACAAAAAAGTTACTATTTCGAATCAATTGAGAACAAATTGTGATATCTCGGATATTCATAACATATACTATATTCTACTACATACATCAGTTGAAAGATGATTATTTAAGATGAGAGACCAATACATATATATATGTCCGATTATACGAGAATCGACAGTTTGTCTCAGAGATCCTAAACAAGGATTCCTGAAATGAACAATGGATAGTATAAGCAGTAGATAGGATAAATGTATATAATATGAATATTTTAATAAGATGCATTGTTATAGAGATACAGCAAGATAAAAGTATGTTTATATATGCATAGTCATTGATGAATGCATATTTTTATATTTCAAGAGTAAGGATGGCAAATAAATGTATTTTAAAAAAAATCTGCATTATGTAACGTTTTCATTCTAATTTAAGCCAGAGGGTGTTTCTAAAACATTTTACTATAATAAATAATTTAAAATATTACTGGTAAAACTGATTTTGCACTATTACACTATAACGCATTTAAAAAATAAATTAACACCGATACACTTGATTGAACAGGACACAATAATTATCTCCTCAATCATCTTCCATTTGTTTCTTTGGCATAGCTGCCATTTCTGTAGCGGTAATTGCAACATCCAAAGAAATTAATGATTCTGATATACTACTTATAACTGCATTATATTTGGATAAAAGGTCATGCACATGAGCACTCAGCTCTTCAGAATCCTCGTAAGCTTTGAGGTATGACAATGACAACTTGTTGAATGTATTATTAAATTCAGGAACATCTTTGATACGTTCAGATTCTAATACTGGCATGAGTTCTTGCATTTTAGTCAACAGCTTGTGATTCTCCATGATCTCTGATTCCATTGTCAACAATAGCTGTGTTTTAGCACTCGTAGGCATTTCAATATCTTCAGAAACAGGATCCAAGTAACCATTTAGCTCTGGCAACCGTTTGATGACTGCATTTGGCTTCTCTCTGCCTGACAATGCCGAGGAGATCAATGAGTTGACGTCCAGTAGACGATCTATGACAGCATTCAGTGGTGCAGGATCATCAATATTAACTGCCTTGTTGGGTCCGTAAGCTTGTTTCTCCAAATTAGCAATTCTGTCCTCTAACAACTTGATGGATGACATTCTAAAGACTAAAATGCAAAAACAGATCAGTCTGTATACATCACAATCTGTACATGTACTATGATGCTAATAGATAATATTGCAGGAATACTTACTTTTGATTAAAAATCCACGTAAGCTTGTTTGTTGAGAATTTGACAGAAGTGCTTGGAGCACTCTTGAGGTTAGGTCTCTTGTTACTGAACCACCAGGGGGTACAGACTCCCCTCTTGAAAAACGAGTGCCAGGCGCCACCTGGGGCTGTACCCGGACGTTGCTGAACTAAAATGGATCACGTGACACGGAGTGCAGATACGCGGTGGTATTCAAACCCCTGCAGCCGCGCACTTTCATTAATATACTGTTTTGTGCAAATGTGAACACAGAAAAAGAAATATTTTTAATAAGTATTTTACAAAACTTTATTTTTATGTTTACTTGTACATGCTAATTAATCATTATTTTGCCCTATTAATTAGCATGTATGAGTAGACATAAAAATAAAGTTTTATAAAATACTTCTGAAAAATATTTCTTTTTCTATGTTCACATTTATACAAGATTATATATATGCATATTGAATTGTGTAATATATGTATAATTTCAAAATTATTAGATAAAATGAAATGATAGAATTTTTATGTCTGTATAATTTTATAAAATAATTGTATAGAAAATATTGTATACAAAATTATAGATATCAGCGGCATACAACTATATACAACTACACAACTCAATATGCATATATTAGAAACACAATATAAATATAAAACTACATATTTATTACAACCTTTATTTTGTATTTTTTTATTACCATGTTTACAAATATAATTTTAAACGATTACAATATTTTTTATAATAAAAATAAAATTTATTGCATTTTCTACATTATTAAATAATATATTAAATTTGAAATACATTTTGATATATATAATAGGATGTCACACACAGTAAAATAAGATTCATTTATATATAAAACATTGTGCAAATGTTTTCATTAGTGAATAGCTATGAGAAAAAATGTTTTTTATAGAAATAATGTTAAAATAATAATGAAATGAAACATACCTGTGGAGAACATTTTAAATTTATCAACATTTGGAAGAAAGTCTTCTATATATTTGACATGTCCTTCGTGATGTCATCCCATATATTCCCACGTCGCAGTCTGTTGATCCTCTGATGCTGATGATAAATAATCATCTTCTTATTGCGTAACATCTTCCGTTATGTCTTCAAGTTTCTTCTTAAAACATAGATTTCTTCTTCTTCTTCATTTTTTCTTGCTGTCTCTTCACCCATGTTTATGGGTAGTGGCACAAAAGCAGAATTGTTCGGAACATTTTCTACTACACTAACATGCTCACAAATATTATCGTTAACGTTAATATCAACATGCAGTTCAAAATTTAAAGGCAAATGTAATGTTGGTATAGCATTATTGGTTAGGTGTCACCTAGACTCATAAGGCTGTACTATATTTTCTGGAAAATGTTCCGTACAGATTCTCAATTTGGCCAATGTTTCTTTAGGCACACCTATAATATCACAAATTACATGAAATATAAGAAATTACATGAAACAATTATGAAATATTAAAAATTATATTAGAAAAACGAGAGCATTGCAATATTAAAGATAAACATGGATATCTATATACAAGATAAAGAAAATGTGTTTAAATTAATTAAAATATATTTAATAAATTTTAAATAAAAATATTTATTATTAAAAAATGGTCATTGCATCTGTTTAATACTTACTGATCAGTTTTGCCTATAACTGTTAGCTAATGTTCCCTTTTCAATGCATCCTCTGGGAAGCAATATACTGGTATTTGAGATATGGACTTACATTGCGGAACACAACACTTCCATACCATCTTGAAGAAATGTACCTAGAAAATTAACATTGTTACTTATATATAAAGTAAAATATTAATACAAAATAAAATATTAATTAATAAAAAGACAAAATAAATCATAAGGTAAGAAACACATTCTTTCTCTTTTCTTTATTCTCTCTAAGAAATATTAATTGTTATATTAACATGTAATATTACGAGAGGTAGAAAACTAACCAACTCAGTAAATAATTTGTTAACAGTGTGACCAACGATTGGCAATAAATTTGAGAATATGTTAACAAATTGATAGATTTACAACATCTATAATTTGCTATTATTCTTTTTACCAAACCTGCTGAGAGACTGACAACACAACAACAGATAGACAATAGGAAGCAAGCAGGATTTGCAATATGTTCCATTTAAATATATTGAAATGACAGATCTTGCTCGATTTCTGACATCAATTTGTCATATTCAGTCATCAGATCCTGTGATATTTCTGCCATTAAATTGCTGATAGAATTTGTAGTTTACTTGCAGAAATATAATCTGATAGCAAAATTGGATAGAATGACGGCATAGAAATCAAGTCTGTCGTTCTAATATACTTAAATACTACATAACATATAGTAAATTCTGCTCGTTTTTCACTAATATGCTGTTACAATGTGTGAGCAGACTAAAAAATAATAACAGCAGATTAGGGCCGTAGATAATTTTATATCTGTCGACACGTCACATTTGAAACTGTCACCAATTTATAATAAGATTAATTTTATCTACACATATATATACATAAATACTTACATAAATGTCAATATTATGACGCCACACGCTCCTTGTCCTTCGTTGGCCCTTCTTTTTTCTTCCTATAATACTGAAATGCTCTTTTTTGGGTACTTAAATATACGAAACACTTTCTCAAATCACTGATAAACAGAAACTGTTCAATATGGCGACTAACAGATGATGGTGCCGGGTAGACTGCGCTGCCTTCTGTTTTTATATCCAATCCGAGACGAACTAAAGTCTCTTCCGTCACCAGTAAAATACAGGGAGTTAGGAGCCTCTGAACTAACACGTCACTCAATAAGTTCGTAGGATGACATATAAATGGGACTACTATTGACAAATCCATATAATTTTTAGGAAGTACTAACCTTCAAATGATACGTGTCAAAATTTTATGACAATCGGACGTTTAATTCAAAAGTTACAGTGGTTTAGTGACGCACGACGTCGACTCGTTTTAGCAACGCGTCGACGATTCAGCGGGCTGTTTGAAGCTGTTTCAGCGCAATAAAAAGGATTTTTTGATGCGGTATGTGACAATGAATGAAACATGGATCCATCACTACACTTCAGAGTCAAATCGGCAGGGAAAGCTCCAGGGAAAGAGATTTGGCTCCAATGAAGAAGTGATTGCCGAAACTGAAGCCTTGCTAAAACGAGTCGACGTCGTGCGTCACTAAAACCACTGTAACTTGTGAACTAAACGTCCGATTGTCATGAAATTTTGACACGTATCATTTGAAGGTTAGTACTTCCTAAAAATCATATGGATTTGTCAATAGTAGCGCCATTTATATGTCATCCTACGAACTTATTGAGTGATGTGTTATATTTCTAATCATCTTATATCCGATTTATATCTTGTCTTAGCACCTTTCTTATAATCCTTTCTTATAATCCTGGATTTACAACAATAAGTCTTTCCCCAGATAGCCAAACCTGCGCGAGCAGATTTCGAACAAAGCCTGCTATCATAGTTTGATAGCAAATAGGCAACAAATTTAACGCAGAATCTGTTATATCAAATTATGCCGCCAATCTGCGGCATAATTTGCGCCGTCAAATATGCGCCAGATCCTGTTGTCAGATATTTGACGGCAGATTTGTAGCAAAAACCGCGCAAGACTTGCAGTAATTTAACGGCAGATTGGCGGCAGAAACTGAGCAAACTCTACGCGCAGACTCTACGTATAATTTGGCAGCAGGACCTGCGCGGTTTCTGCCGACAATCTGCTTGCACGGCCTGTCATACAGGCTGTCATACATACTGTCATAGGTCCTGTCGACAAAACACGAGCCTAATGAGGACACAGATGGCTATGGTTTTGATCTGGAGATCTGATCGAAATTGGCGTCAATCTGCGCGCATTCTGTCGCATTTTGCTTACTGGGTCAATAGAGTCTTCTAATTCTGAAGATAATAATGAATCAATGTTTAAATGGTCTCATGCGGCAATCCTTTTGCTGGTAGAAAAGTATCGGCTGCAAGAAAATAACATCATATCGGGTAAAATGTCCCAGAAAAAAATGTGGAATAATATTGCATCAGCATTATCTATTAAAGGCTATAATGTCGCTGGACTTCAATGTCTTTCCAAATTTCACGAAATAAAACGAACTTATAAATCTATAAAAGATCACAATGCCAAATCAGGGAATAATCTTAGAACATGGCCTTATATGGAAGTCATGGAATTTTTGCTTGATGAACGACCTTTTATGTCGCCTCCAGCAATAGCTTCTTCAAGCAACATCCCAGTAAGCAAAATACTAACAGAATGCGCGCAGATTGACGCCAATTTCGATCAGATCTCCAGATCAAAACCATAGCCATCTGTGTCCTCATTAGGCTCGTGTTTTGTCGACAGGACCTGTATGACAGGCCGTGCAAGCAGATTGTCGGCAGAAACCGCGCAGGTCCTGCTGCCAAATTATACGTAGAGTCTGCGCGTAGAGTTTGCTCAGTTTCTGCCGCCAATCTGCCGTCAAATTACTGCAAGTCTTGCGCGGTTTTCGCTACAAATCTGCCGTCAAATATCTGACAACAGGATCTGGCGCATATTTGACCGCAGATTGGCGGCATAATTTGATATAACAGATTCTGTGTTAAATTTGTTGCCTATTTGCCATCAAACTATGATAGCAGGCTTTGTTCGAAATCTGTTCGCGCAGGTTTGGCTATCTGGGATGTGTTCTAATTCTAGATCTAATAGAGAATCTAACTTACCAAATGCAAATATATGTAACAATGTAAACTCAAGTAATATAAATTTAAGCTATTCAAATTCTTGGAAGCACAAGGCACAAGAAAGTACATCAAACATTGCTGAATCAATTTTACAAAGTCGGAAATTGACTAAGAACAACAGTGGTCAGAGGCACAAAGAAAACATGGGCTTTAAAAAGCAAATGCTAAAATTCATGAGTAAAATTTTAGACAAATTATAAATGTTTTTATTTTAATTTACATGCAACAAAGACAAAACGAAGTTATAGTACAAATTATAAGATTGTTCCCTTTGTTTTTGAAAAAACATTGTACCATTTATTTTTTTGTTTACTTCTTTTTAGTACAATTAATATTTTATTTAGTTTTGTAAAATACAGTATAGTAACTGATACATCTATTATACTACATTCTGTCTTCCTTAATATTTTAAACATAATCTTAAAATTTGCTTTATTTTTTAATATTAATAATTAATATTAAGTTTATACACATAAGTATTCACTAATGTCTTCCCATTGTAATTTGAATTATTTTGACGATTTTCAACTTTATGCCTATACATATTTTTATAATAATAGTTAATTAGCTTACATAGACGCAACACATAAAGTGTTGTGAAAATCGTATAAAAAACAGTTATAATAGCAAGACATTAATAACTTCCTGTGTACATCTGTGATAAATTGAATAATGGTTGTATGCATAAGTGATACTTAATGTTAAGAAGACTGATATATAAAATAAGATTTTTCTTTCTATGTTGGAACAATTAAAATTTGGTAAATATTTCTGATGAAAGTTATGTGGAACAGAATTACTACATCCAGTTAACTTAATCAGTCTATTATAACAAAATTAATCAATTGTATTGATCAGAAAAATAAATTGGTTCATTAATATTGCTGCTTGGTCGATCGAATAAGTTAACCAGAGTTAGTGATATTAGTTCTTTATGTATAACTAACAGCATTACATATATGTAACTTGTTTTTATTTTTATTGTACCTCGAGACAATACAAAGTATTTCATTTTTATTTTGTCGAAGGGAATGATTAATTAATATTAATACTTGGTCGACTGAGTAAGTTAAGCAGGATTAATGATATTAGTCCTTTATGTGTGTCAACGGTCATACCACGCTGAAAGCACCAGTTCTCGTCTGATCACTGCAGTTAAGCAGCGTTGGGCTCGGTTAGTACTTGGATGGGTGGTAACCACCTGGGAACACCGTACTATTGACGTTAATCCCGCCCCCCCTTCCTATGGAGGGAGCAATGGGGGAGGCGCGGAGGGAGATGGGATGTCTCCCCTCCCTCCGAGTAATTACCAGAAGGCTTTAACCCGGTTGGGGAACAACCGACCGGGGAGGACCGCGTCCTGGACTCCTTTAATGGGACAGGACGCCGGTACTCGATGGCGTTTGGGGCTCCCGGAGAGCCCTGGGGCCGGGATGTCAGGGAGGGAATACAGGAGTAGTTCCCCTGGCTCCCCCCACCACAATCCGAATGGTAGACATCCCGCAGGGGTTTTAGTCAATAAGAGTCTGACATAACCCCCGACCCCCCCAAAGGGTCGGGAGTATCCATGATGGATTTCTCCTGCGTTACTAAAAAAAAAAAAGTCCTTTATGTGTAACCAACAGTATTACATATATATAACTTGCTTTTATTTTTATTGTACCTCAATACAATACAAAGTATTTTATTTATTCTGTCGAGGGGAGTAATTGTGTTAAAAATTAATTATAAACTATTATAAAACGAATATCAATAACAAAATGTATCTTTTATTTTCTTTTACTTTTTGTCCTGAATGAATTAATAACGAAGAGGATGCACTTATTATTTTAGAACACGGAAATGGCAATTTTTAAATATAATACTATTATAAAAATAAATAAAGAATTCTTTTATATGTTGTACTATCTTTATTTTATTAAACATGTACATATTAGTTTATATCTATATTACAAAAGTATAAAAGATAATAACCTGTAAACTTCTTTAAAATAAAAAATATATTTCAAAAATACATTTCTAGCAAAATTAGAACTGTTTTAAGATTTATACGAGTCTTATTGGAAGTCTTTGGCTAATTAAGTCTCTTTTCAGAACACCTGTTGTATCATCTGCAGCAGCTTGACGAGGAATATCATTATCTACTTCATTATTTAATAAAACCATGTCAAAATCATCATTTCTTAGTATACAAATATTATGCATGACACAACAGGCAAGTATATAATGAGCAATTAAGTCAGTCCAATTCATAGGTAGATAGTGTAATAAACTTCTAAATCGACCTTTCAAGATACCAAATGCTCTTTCAATAGCGATTCGTGCTGAAGAATGGCAGAAATTATAATTTTTTTGTCGTTCAGTCAAATGACCATTATCACGATATGGGACCATTAAATTATCATGAATTTTATATGCAGCATGACCAAGTAAATGGGAATCATCAGGAAATTTTTATGGGTTACCCAATGCATCTTGAATTTCTGATTGACGAAAAACGCGTTGATCATGCACAGAACCTGCATGTCCAATATAGCAGTGCGTGAAACGAGCTTTGTGATCACAGATCCCCTGGAAGAATATAAAGTACGATATATTTAATATATACAATATAATGAGGAAAAATTCTTCCATCTAATATACTAAGTACATATTACAAACTTGTAGCTGAATGAAATGGTGACCTTTCCGATTAACATAGGCTTCTGGATGTATATGTGGAGATGGGATATTGATGTGAGTACCATCGATAGCTCCTATGACTTTAGGGAAGGAACTAATTACTTCAAATCCTGTCCAAACTTCTTGGATAGCGTTGCCTGTTGGCCATTTAATAAATACTGGTACTAAATCTGCAAGTATCTTGGTAACTCGACGGGTTGTTAACAAGGCTGTTGATCAACTCACATTAAATTTTTCACATATTGATCTAGGATTAAAAAAATTATGAATGAAAAATGCAATAT